ACAGAGTGATTTTTATGGGTATCGTTCTGTCTGAAAAAGGAATCGGCCCAACAGAAGAAAGAGTCAGAGCCTTACAAGAAACGAGGGAGCCTGCCACTGTCAGCGAAGAAAGAAGTTTTTCGGGATTGGTCAATTATAGCAGCAGATTCATTCCTCATTTTGCCATCATCACTGAACCATTAAGGAGCTTAACCAGAAAGGACGTTCCATTTCACTGTGGACCCGAGCAGAAAACTGCTTTTAAGACCTTGAAACAGAGCATGGCTGACGCGGAAGCACTAGCTTATTGTTACAAAGGTGCACCAACTAAAATCATAGCTGATGCCAGTCCAGTCGGCCTTGGAGCTGTGTTAGTGCAGAATCAGAATGAAGCATGGGTGCCGATTTTCTATGCCAGCCCCAGCTTGACAGAGTGCGAGCGCAAATACTCCCAGATCGAAAAGGAAGCCCTTGCACTCGTTTGGGCATGTGAGAGGTATCATGCATACATTTATGGCATGAAATTTGATCTAGTGACTGACCACAGACCATTGTAGGTCATCTATGGGCCGCGTTCCAAGCCCTTTGCCCGCTTGAACGCTGGATAATACGCCAACAACCCTGTGACTTTCGAATTGTGTATACTCCAGGGCAGAGTAATATAGCTGACCCTCTTTCCCGCCTGCTCAAGCAAGATAAAGTAGAGAGTCATCCTCATGGAGCAGAAGAATACATCCGATTCGCAGCCATCAGTGCCACTTCCCGGGCATTAACTACAAGAGAGGTCGAAGAAACATCTGCAGCAGACGAAGAGTTAGAAGTCCTGAGAGAAGCGATTAAAACAGGCCGATAAGAGAAATGCAAAAAGTATGCACCAGCCGCAGGAGAATTGTTGGAGAGCTGGTCTTAAGAGGTACTCGTATTGTATTACCAAACACATTCAGATCTCAGGCAATCAGCTTAGCCCATGAGGGACACCTGGGAATCGTCGATACAAAGCAAAATTTAAGAAGGAAAGTGTGGTGGCTTCGTATGGAGAAGGCGGCAGAGAAATTCTGCAAGTCCTGTCACGGATGTCAACTCGTATCTCGCTCAGACCCACCCGAGCCATTGAGATCCACTACACTACCGGAAGGGCCTTGGCATGACCTAGCCATAGATCTTCTAGGACCACTTCCATCTGGACACTCAATTCTCGTTGTTGTGGACTACTACAGCCGTTATTATCAGTATACAATCATGACGTCAACCGTCACAGAGAAAGTAATCGACAACCTGGAGGAAATCTTCAGCCGCTATGGCCTACCTCTGGCCATCAAGTCAGATAATGGTCCACAATTCTGCTCAGAAGAATTTCGGGAATATTGTAAGCAGAATGGAATTGTTCACATTAAGACCACACCAAAATGGCCTCAAGCCAACGAGGAGGTGGAGAGACAAAATGCATCCCTGATGAAGAGGATTCGCATTGCCCAAGCTGAAGGGCTAGACTGGGTGAAGGAGCTAAGAAGATATGTGACTAAATACAGAGGTATTGATCATACGACAACCAGTAAGAGCCCTGCCAAATTATTGTTTAACAGGAAGATGAGAGGAAAGCTACCAGAGTTACATGCTGACTATCACTTGGACCTGGAAATTCGCGACAAAGATGCAGAGGTGAAAGCAAAGACCAAAGCGTATGCTGATAAATTCACGAATGCAAAACCATCAGATGTTCAAGTTGGTGATCAAGTCCTGGTGAG